TCTTCTTCTTCTTCTTCTTCTTCTTCTTCTTCTTCTTCTTCTTCTCCTCCTCCTCCTCCTCCTCCCTGTGTTTGTTTTCTCTCCCTCTTTGTTTGCATCCAGACAGTCTGGCCCTTTCACAGTCTGGGGGTGGAGAGGGGGGAGGCCTTCTTTGAATTGGTTTAATATATAACGAGGGGGGGCGGAGGGGGGTTCCTATGCGAACCGGTACCAGTTGGCTTGTGTGTGTGTGTGTGTGTGTTTTGTTAATGGTTGTGCGCATGCGTGAAGACCATTAAAAGCTAATAAACAAAACACCAGCAACGGAGACTGGAAAAGAGGTTCAAGGGGGGCGGGGGGTGGCCAGCCTGGGTCACTGCCGGTTCTGTGAGCAAGGCCAGATTGCCACTACTGGTTCGGCCAAACTGGGAGCAACCCATCTCTGGGCAGGGGGTTCATTTGGCAAAGGAGAAAAAATCTGGGTCAACCAATCACATTCCTGCCTCGGTTGCCCTGGGAGTAAGTGGACCAGCCATTTGTCCTCCGTTGCCCTAATTCCCCAGTGGAGCCAACAGCCCTGAGGTTCCTTGAGGCCTCCCCCCCCTTAGTACTGACCAAGCTGACCCTCTGCGGGTGTGGGGGTCCTGGGGTGGTCTCACCTGCCTCCCCTCCCCTGGGGGCCCCTTGCAGGCCAGAGGGAGGTGATCTGCCCTTGTCTTCTTCTGCTATGGGAGCCCACCCTGCATCCCAGCCCCTTAGAAAGCAAAGCGGAACTCGAGTGAGCCCCCTGGAGAAACCTCCGTCCCCCCCTGCCCCCCCTCCATACGTGCCAGGGTTCTGTGGTCGTCAGTGATCAGGCTGCCCCCAGTGCCTGGGGAAAGCACCAGGGCTCGGTCAGGGCCTCCGTAGCTCCAGGGGGAGGGAGGCTGCTCCCAGGACCAGGACGGAGAGCCCCCCCCCCCCGTCTGCCGATCCACCAAGGGGGGGGGGAGATGAGCAGGCTGAGGCGGGGGAAGGGAAGGGAAGAGTCGAGCATACCATCCCTCTTGCCCCCCCCCAAGGGACCCAAGTTCAGCCCTCCTTGAATTCGGTTAACCCTTATCTGCCACCTACAGACAGTCCTCGACTTACGACCACAATTGAGCCCAAAATTTTGGTTGCTCAGTGAGACGTTCGTTAAGTGAGCTTTGTCCCATTTTGCAATCTTTTGTGCCTCTCTCGTGAAGGGAATCGTTGGGAATTGTTTGTGAGGCCAAGAAAAGGGATCCCGTGACTCTGGGACATGCGACCGTCACAAATACGAAGCAGTTGCCAAGCACCCAGATGTTGGTCACATGACCACAGCCAGGTGGAAACCGGCTGCAAGTTACTTTTTTCAGTGACGCCACTTCAAACAGTCACTATGCAAACTGTCGTAAGTCGAGGACTGCCTGTACCTCAGAGACCCCCCCCCCCCGAGGACCCCACAGTTCAACCCTGAGCGGCCAATATGTTGGACCCTGCAGTCGGGCTCCTCAGCCACCTAGAAGTCCAAACCAGGAGAATCTCTGCAGCTCCGGGTTGAAGCGAAGGGCCCTGGGTGCCCTCTGACCTTGGTGGTTTCCTTGCAGGCGTTTTGTGACCCAGCTAGGGAACATCATCATCACCGCTAGGAGAGGCAAAGCCCCCCCCCCTTCCTAGCACTGATGATGTTACCTAGTTGGGTCATGACAGGTCACCCCCTGAAGAGGAGAATATGTAAACACAACAACGGACAAAGTGGATGGAGGGAGGAGTAGAAGGAAAGGTAGGAAGGAGAGGAGAAAGGAGAGGAATAGGAGAAAGGGAAAGGCAGAGGAAGAATGGGAGGGAATGTAAGAGTAGGAAAGAGGGGAGGAATGGGAAGAAGAGGGGAAGGGTAAAGGGGAGGAAGGGGAAGGAGAGAAGGGAAAGGAGAGGAGAAAGGAAGGAAGGAGAGAAGAAAGGGGGGTGGGAAGGAGGGAGGGAAGGAAGGAGAGAAGAAAGGAGGGAAGGAAGGAGGGAAAGGAGAGAAGAAAAGAGGGAAGGAAGAATGTAGGAGAGAAGGAAGGGGGGAAGGAAGGAGGAAAGGAGAAAAGAAAGGAGGGAAGGAAGGAGGGAAGGAAGGAAGGAGAAAAGGACGGAACGGGAAGGAGGGAGGGAAGGAAGGGGAGTAGGAGAGAAGAAACGAGGGAAGGAGGGAGGGAGGGAGGGAAGAAGAAGTAGGACCGTTGTAAGATAAGATGGGGTTATGGGATGTTAAGAAAGCAATCTTCAAGTATATTGTCAACTGTAGGGAAAAATTGTTATAAATACATATTATTAATAACAGTTATGAGATCATATAATTGTGTATGTATATATGAAATTGATAAAATAAAAATAATTTTAAAAAAATAGTTGGGTCATGAAACGCCTGCAGGAAAACCACCAAGCTCAGAGAGCACCAAGGTCCTCACAGTCTTCCTCCCCCTCTTCCTCCTCCTCCTCCTCCTCCTCCTCCAGAAAACCAGGGAGCACCAAGGACCCCCCCCATTTTCAGTTCAGTCTTAATCTTTTGTAATTTTAATGCGTTACATTTATAATAGTTAAATCTGTTCAGGAGATTGTGAGCCATTCAGAGTCGCCTCGGGATAAATCAATATAAAAAACGAATGGGCGAATAAAACGAACCAAATCCAGATGCTCCTCCGCGCTGGGCTCCGCTGGGGAAGGGCGAGGCGACGGAGGAGGGATGGGGGCGCCCGGCCTCCTTGCCCCATCAGCCGCCGGAGGGTCTGCGGAGCGAAGGGGACGGGGAGGGGGGGCTCTCTCTGCCTTTATTCCTCGCGAGCTCCTTCCCAGCCGAGGCTCCGCGGGTAACGACCGGGGCGGGACTGCGGCGCGCTCTCGCCAGCAAGCGCGCGCGGGGAAGGGCGGTGGTTGACGTCATGGGCGGGCTGCAAGGCGGCGGCGGCGGCGGGATGGCATCGCGGACCCGCCGAGCATCCTCCGCAGCCCCAGCCGAAGGCAGGCAGAGCCCGGCGCCCGAAGCCCGGCTGCGCTCCCGGCATCCCTGCCGCATCCCGCCCGGCCCGGAGCCCCCGCCGCCGCCGCTGCCCTCGCTGGCGCGAAGCCCCCGCTGCCCATGGTGCTGAGCCTGCTGCTGTCGGCCTACCAGCTGTGCCGCCTGGCCATGCCCGAGCCGGGGGCGGCGGCGGGCTGGTGGGCGGAGGGGCTGGACGGCGACGACCTCCCGCCCGGGCAGGGCGCGGCCATCCAGGCGGCCCTGGAGCGGAGCCTGCCCGAGCTGCACCAGGCTGTCTCGGCGGCCAAGCAGGCGGCGGGAGCGGGGGACCTGCAGGCGCGGCTGGGCGCCGTGCTGGCGCTGGTGGAGGAGGCCTGGGGGCTGCCGGCCGTGGGGCGCCAGGTGGCCAAGGGGCTCTGCGACGCGCTGCGCCTGGAGGGCGGCCTCGACCTCCTGCTCGACCTGCTGCGCGGCGCAGAGCCCGAGAGCCGGAATCGCGCGGCGCAACTGCTGGAGCAGGTCCTGGTGGCCGAGAACAGGTGAGCGCCCGCGAGCCCTCGGGGGGGAGGGGGATGGAGGGGGAACGCCTGGAGGGACCCTGAAGGGGAGCCCAGCACACGCACGCACACGCACGCACACCCGCCGAGGCTCACGCTCTCCCCGGGGCCCTTTCGGAGGGACGGGGGCCCTTCAGCTGGATGGCAGCTAGGGGGAGAGGTCCTGCCGGGCCCCCTCTTTGTAAGGGCTGCCTCTTTCCCGGAGCAGATGGAGGAAGGGGCGTTTCTTCCCAGAAGGGGAGATTTGCTGGCTGTCTTTGGATGCAGGAAGCTTCTGCTTCTCTCTGCGCAAGCGCCCAGAAGTGTTAACTGAGACGATTGGGCGACTGAAGGGGGACGGGGAAAGCGGGGGGGGCTCTGTCTGTTCTCCAAAGCACCAGAACGCAGGACAAGAAGCAAAGGATGGAAACTAACCAAGGAGAGAAGAAACCTGGAAGCCAGTACGAATTTCCTGCCAATTGTCCAATGGAACAGCTTGCTACCAGAAGTTGGGGCTGCTCCATCACTGGAGGTTTTAAAGAAGAGACTGGGGAACTATTTTGCCAGGATGGTCTGGACCAGAGTCTCCTGCTTGAGCGGTTGGACTGGAATCCCCTGCAACTCCGTTATTCTGTTATTCCTTATGTCCAGCCAGCCTAAGATCCCCTCACGCCTCTCAGGGGGCCGAATAAAAAGAGGGGGCAGAGCTGTGACTCATTCGGAGAGACAGCAGGGCTCCTCCTTGTTTCCGGCATCCTCCCAGCCTTCTCCAGTGGGGGCAGGGGGGCCCTTCAGGTGACCCCGCTGGGCAAAAGGAGGATGGGCCTGGGAGTGGGGATGTCATGATAAGAAGGGGAGAGCCAGAGTAATTTCCCCACACTCTGATTCCATGCGAGGAGGGGATTCTGAGGGTTGCAGGCCTCACATCTGGGCAGCTGCCCAAGCTGGGGGCACAGATTCGAGAACTAATGGTGTGCGAGCATTGATTGCAAACTGCCGGTGGCTGCTTGGGAAGGAGATGCAGGAGAAGAGCAGGCAGAGGGGGGGGTGGGGTCAGAGTTAAATATGTCCGTGGCACAACAAAACTGCGCTCAACTAAAGCGCGCCCAATTAAACCGCGTCGCTGATGTCATCAGCAGGGCGACAACAGCCAGCGCGGAAAAAGAAGGGCGCTTTAAATAGCGCTTTGAAAGCAAGCCGATTCAACTTAAGGTAAGGGTTAGGTTAATGGTTAGGTTTAGGGGTTAATTTTACGTTTAGTGTTTACAGCATGCTTTTTTCTCCGCGCTGTTGTCGTGCTGTGATGACTTCAGCTACGCGGTTTCGTCGAATGCCCTTTAGTCGAACACGGTTTTGGGGTGGAACCAAATATGTCATCAGCTGAGAATCCTTATGTTGCCACAAACGACTCAACCACCCAGCAGGCCAGCCTTTCTCTTCCTTAACAGCTTGAAGACGTGTGGACTTCACCTCCCAGAATTCCCCAACCATCAAGTTGCCTGGGGAATTCTGGGAGGTGAAGTCCAGACATCTTCAAGTTGCTGAAGGTGAAGAGAAATGCCGGCCTACTGGGCTGTTACGCTGCTGACTTGGAGAAGGCAGTTGCTGCAGAGCGCAAGGAAGGGAGGCACCGAATAAGAACCCCCACTGGGCAGCCCCACCCTTGGCCCACCTGGCCCATAGCTTAGCTGGGGAAAGAGAAGACCAGGATAATAGACTTGGAAGGGACCTTGGAGGGCTTCTACTACAGCCTCCTGCGCAGGCAGGGAGCCCTGTATCAGCCAGGGCAAATGGCAGGAGCATTTGCAACATCTGGAGGCAGCCGTTCCCCCCGATTGTCCTATCAGGAAATCCCTCCTTAGTTCCAGGTTGCTTCGCTCTTTGTTTAGTTTCCATCCACTGTTTCTTGGCCTGCCTTCGGGTGCTTTGGAGAAGAGCTGGACCCTCTTCCTCCTCTCTGGAAATATTGGAAGATGCTCTCCTGTCTCCCCTGGTCCTTCCCTAGACTAGCCAGGCCCGGTTCCTGCAACCGTTCTTCCTATGTTTTGGCCTCCAGTCTCCTAAAATCCTCTTGGTTGCTCTTCTCTGCCCTTTCTCCAGCGTCTCAACATCTGGGGAACCCTTTCCTCCCCCTGGGCAGTGGGGCAGAGAGAATGCGGCTGCCTTGTATGGTCTCAAAACTTTTGAAAGTGGAGCCAAAGGCCTGCAGAGGGGCGGATGGGGACCCCCCTGGGCTGCATGAGCTCCAGGCTGGTGCCCCTCTTCCTTGTCCCCTTCCGTGGCTTCCTGGGGCCCCAGCTTTGATGCCGCGGCTGACCCGCCCTCTGCTTGCCTGGCAGGAACCGGGTGGCTCGGATCGGCCTGGGGGTGGTGCTGAACCTGGCCAAGGAGCGGGAGAGCCTCCCCCTGGCCAGGAGCACCTCGGGCATCCTGGAGCACATGTTCAAGCACTCGGAGGAGACCTGCTTCCAGCTGATCGCCAACGGAGGCCTGGACGCCATCCTCTTCTGGTGCCGCTGGAATGACCCCGTGGTGCTTCGGCACTGCGCCGCCGCCTTGGCCAACTGTGCCATGTACGGCGGGCAGGCCAACCAGCGGCGGATGGTGGAGAAGAAGGCCTCGGAGTGGCTCTTCCCGCTGGCCTTCTCCAAGGAGGACGACCTGGTCCAGTTCCAGGCCTGCCTGGCCATCGCCGTGCTGGCCACCAACAAGGAGATCGAGAAGGAGGTGGAGAACTCGGGCACGCTGGCCCTGGTGGAGCCCTTCATCGCCACCCTCGACCCGGGACGCTTCACCCACAGCTGGCTGGGCAGCAGCGAGAACAGCCAGGGCCGGACGGCAGACGACTTGCAGTACCTGGTGCCCCTGCTGGACAGCTCCCGCCTGGAGGCCCAGTGCATCGCCGCCTTCTACCTCTGCGTGGAGGCCGCCATTAAAGGCCAGCAGAAGAAGACCGAGGTCAGCAGGGTGGGGCTGGTGGGCCTCATGCTTCCCTCCAGGGCTTGGGGCAGGAGAAGCCACTGCCCCCCTCCCACACCCAGTGCTGGGATTGGGCTGAAAGACCCAGTTCTGCAAGGGACACCCAGGCCTCTGGGGCACAGGAGCCCTTGCGGTGCCAGTAGAACGGATCCTCTCTTTGGCCCCCTCCCCACCACCAGCTCTAAAACCTGGGGGCCGGGGAGGACCAATCCTTCCGATGCCTTTGAGGAGGCTGCCCCAAAGTTTCCGGCTTGGAGATCCTGGGGTGAGCCCAGCTGTGGGAGCCCCAGTCTGACTCAGCCGGGTCTTGTCGTCCCCAACGTAGCGCCCTTCCACTGCCATGGTACCCATCTTCCTTGCGATGGAACAGCCACGGCCCCCAGCACGGAGATCCAGCCCACCAGGGTGGGTGCCGGTTGGGGCAGCTGGCACAGGCTGCCTTGTGAGAGCTGACGGTGGCCCTCCTGTTGCCAGATCTTTGCAGAGATCGGGGCCATCCAGAGCCTGAAAAGGATCGTCTGCTACTCGGCCAACGGCACCACCTCCATGCTGGCCAAGCGGGCGCTGTGCACCATGGGTGAGGAAGTGCCCCGGCGTCTCCTGCCCACGGTGCCCAACTGGAAGACCCCCGAGGTGCAGAAGTGGCTCCAGCAGATCGGCTTTCTCAAGTACTGCCCACGCTTCCTGGTACAAGTTCCGGAGGGGGCAGACCCCCAACGCTGGTAGGGTGTGGCGGGGGAGCCCTCCCCAATAGCCATGGGCACAGGGTGGAGGGCCGGTCTATGGCCAGCCACTCAGGAGGGGGCTCCCTGCTCTGGCTCATGTCGTGGCCCTGTAGCAAGGGGAATGGGGGGAGGGGGGGCGAAGGATGCTGGGGGAGACATGAGAGGCCTTCTTATCTCGGGTTCTTCCCTGAGCTTGGTGGCTTTCTGGCCACTGTTTCTTTGCCACCTGGACTAATTAGAGGGGTTGCCATATAAACAGAAGCCGCATGGAGGGGAGGGAGGGAGGGAGAAAAGAGGAAGAGAGAGAAAGGAAGGGAACTTTTTGTAACTTTAATAAAATTTGTATGCCGCCCACTCCCTAGGGACTCTGGGCGGCTAAATAGGAATTAATTCAGCTCCGTTGAAGATAGGAAATAGGAATTGAATGCAGAAGTAATGAAGAAAGGAAAGAAGAGGGAGAACAGAAGGAGGCAGGTGATAGGAGGAGGGATGGAGAGGGGTGACATAGAAATTGAATAAAGAAATAATGGAAGGGAGGAAAATGGAAGGAAAGAGCCTATTAAAGATTCTCAGTCATCCAGGTCTTCATGGGTGTCCCAAGGGGGCTTTTTTCAGGAGGCCACTGGGCTTCCTGCTTTCCATCCCTCCCAGCCCCATCCAGTCAGAGCTGAAGAAGCTTCTGGGATGAGAAGCAAAACAACTTCAAAGAAGGAAGTCCAGTTTAGAAGGAGGGAGGGAGCGGGGGGGAAAGGGAGGCATATAACTCCAATGGACCCTAAAGAAAGGGGGGGGGGGAGAAAGACTTGGCACCGGACAGTCCAGGCCAAAGGCTGAGATTCCCCTGGGACCTTCTGCCTCTGCAGGAGCACCAGGTGGACGGAGACCTGCTCCTCAGGCTGTCCGAGGAAGACCTGCTGACCGACCTGGCCATGAGCTCCAGCATCACCCGCAAGCGGTAGGAAGGAAGGCGGGACTAGAGCGCTCGGGCTCCTGCTGATTGGCCCAAAGTCACCCGGCCACCTTCCATGCCTAAGGCGGGACTAGAACTCCCGCTCTCCTGGTTTCTCGCCTGGGGCCCAGACCGGGCCAAGCTGCCCCTTCCCACCAGCCAAGCGCCCCCCCTCCCCGCTTCCTCCCCAGGTTCTTTCGGGAGCTGACGGAGCTGAAGACCTACGCCAATTACTCCACCTGCGACCGCAGCAACCTGGCTGACTGGCTGGCCGGCGTGGACCCCAAATTCCGCCAGTACACCTACAACCTGGTCACCTGCGGCATCGACCGGAACTTCCTCCACCGCGTCACGGAGCAGCAGCTGCAGGACGACTGCCGCATCGGGCTGAGCTTCCACCGCGTCCGGATCCTCTCTGCCGCCCGGGGTAAGCGGGGAGGGGGAGAGACCCTCAGCTCCGGTTACCCAGGGCCTGGAATAGCCGTCCAGACAGAGGCCCCTGGCCCAGGGTCTCTCTCTGCGTGTGTGGGGAGAGGGGGGGGCTCTCCCAAGACAG